GTGCTGCTTTGTTCAGAGCCCTTTGCATCCGTCTCCCCTTTCTTTTAAGATTCTGTCCAAATTGTACCTTGTACGGGGACATCCAGGACTAGCCAGTGTTGGTAGAGAAACAGCCCGGAGCCTTCGCTGGTAGCATTTGGTGTCAGCCGGCTTCGTGACATTCTCTTTTGCCAGTGAAGGTAAGTGTCACCCCCCTGCGGGCTCCCCCAGCGGAGGTAGGGGCTTGGTCTGCGAGAGTGGCTGGAGGACATGGCCGCATCACGCCAAGAGCCCCCATGCTGAGAGCCCCAGTCTCTGCCCTGACCTCACTGCTTGGCCAGGGAGCAGGGAGGTGTCCCTGGAGGTGTTTGCCGTCTGTGATGTCCTGTGCTGCCCCCACCACTCGCCTGGGGGCATTTGGCCAAGCCTAGGAGGAAGAGGATTCTGCTTTGAGAAGGATGACGGCAGTGCCCTGCTTTGATTGGACGGAGAATATGTTCTTGGCCAGAATCTGTTTGGTGTTTGGCATCTTTCCCCGATAAAGGAAGTTGTTCGTTTTGGGGTGATTCTCTCATATCTGTACAGGCATGTTTCCTTTTAGGCCTTTCTGCCTGTAATTGTACTTGCGGAATACATTGTCATCAACTTAAATTTCGGAACATCTTATCTTAATTTTGTCTTAATCTCCTGCTATTTTTGGTGGAGGGGTTGGTGGAGAGAGCCACAGCCATCGTTCCTTGATGGGCGGTTGTTGGTAGATTTGCGGTCGCATCAGAGCTCATTCCGGAGGCTGCAGCTGTAAGGGAGCCCCATGTTCCTTGGGGCATCTAGCTGATCCCAAGTTGGGGGCCGCGACATAGGGGAGCGCTGTGTGCAGCAGGCCTGTGGCTGCCGCCGCCGCTCTGCCGGAGTCCGGGGCAGGCCAGGCTGGCCCTCCTTGGGCTGCAGACTGTGTTGGCAGATTCCTAGCAGCCCCTTCCGGGTGGGGGAGACGGGACCCCCAGACTGAGAATCTCAGAAGGACTATCCTTTCCCTCCTGTTGCAAGGAAGTGTGTCTCCACAGTCAGGCCTGGTGGCAGGGGTGCTGTGGCAGCTGTGGGGAGCAGCACGCCCTCTGCTGCTGTCCGTGTCTTCTGTCCTGCGTCTGCTCCACTCACAGCAGCTGCCCTCGAGGCTCCCCCCGCCTCTGCCTCCTGTGCTACTTGGATTTGGGGTGTGAAAAACGGGCTCGGGGTGAGGTCGACTGTGAGTCTCACCCTGAGAGTTAATTGCGTGAAAAGGCTTTGAATAGTTGAGCGCAGGGAGGGACCGTCCGGTGGACGCATTTGCACGCAGGCGTGGCTGCCGGGTGGCGGTGAGGAGCCCGGGCTGCAGGTGCGGCTCGCCCCAGCTGTGAGCAGACCCGAGTGCACGCTGGGGGCCGCCCTGCCCCTTCCGTGCTGGTGTGTTTCCCTCCGGGAGCCTTGGCGTGCTGCAGCGTCCGCGTTGTCAGGGTGGGAAGGTGTGAGCGAGAGGCTAGTCTGTCGGAGGCAGCGGCTGAAAGGCTGGGAGTTCTGGACGGGAACCCAAGCCCTCGGATGGTGTGGGGTCACCTCGCGTGGGGCGGGAGCGGGAGCGGGAGCTGGCCTGTGCCGAGCAGCGCGGGGCGGGGGCGCGGCGGGCAGCACCCGGCTGGATGCCCGCGCTCCCTTCTCCACCTGCTGTGTGCGGTCTCTGCCCCGGGCACCCCTGTCATCGAGGGTGCTTTCTGCTTGGTAGCTGTGTTTTAGAGAACGATTTCCTTTGGTAAAACGTAGTTCCTGGCTGGTCCGTTTCACAGGAAACCACGGGCTTGGCGTGCAGGAGTCTGAGATTTTAAATCTCGTTCCTTCTCCAGCACGGGAGGCACGAGCATGTTGCTGTGTCCCGTCCTCCTCATCGCCGGTGCGTGTTCTTCCCGTGCCGAGGATGAGGAGCCGGAGGGGCCGTGGGTGGGGCCTTGGGTGTCGGTGCCTCCGGGAGTCGGAGACTGTAACCTCCTCCAGCTGAGGAGGCGGGCGGCTCCCTTGGTGAGCGCAGGGAGGACCCCCATGCCTCACCCACAGCCCTGCTCCCTTCTCTCCGCCTTGCCCTGTGCTTTGTGTTTGCTCTGTGTGTCACTCTTGTGTTTCTTTTGACATTAAATTACTGACTTTTTACACATGTTTTACTGTTTTGGGGGGAAACTGGTAGGATAATTTTACTTGGAGAATATTGGATTCTGCTGTACATTTAATTCATGACTGTTAACGTTTTGATGGGGGGGAGGTGCTCTTCAGAGAAGCTGATTTAATTATCTGGGATTTGGCTTGAGTATCTTGGTTTTCTAAATTCCGGAGATCCTGGCACGAGGCCTCCCCTGAGAACCTCGGCTCCCAGGGCCACCCGAGGAAAGGCGGATCTTGGTGTTCCCTTCCTTCCCTCCTGCTGGCCCGTGACCCCAGCCATCGTGGACGTGTGCTGGTCTTGGGGCAACATGCTTAGGGTGCCTTTAGGCGCCGAGTGTCCCCGGGTGATGCAGCGTCCTGCGCGTCCCGCGGCTTCTCCACGTGCACCGACTTTCTCCGAGGTCTTTCTGTAAAAGTCCTCCTGAGGCTTTGCCCTTGTTCCCGTGCGGCAAACTGAACTCAACGATTTGTCTGGTTTTGGTTTTTGTTGAATGGATTCCTGATTCAGGAAATAGTCGGCTATCTCTTTCTAGAGGACGGTTTTAGTCCAAACATTTCATCGATCCGGAATGTGTGTTCTTCCTCCGTGGCGGGTGTCTCCTCGCATTGTGTCGTTTCCTGGTAAGATGCAGCGCGGATGTGAATTCGCTCAAGTTCTGATGTCACATGGAAGCCCATTGGCGGGCGGCGGCGGCCAACCAGACGCTTCCCGGTGTCCAAGTAAGATATATAGTTCTGGAATAACAGGAAACTTCAGTTTCAACATCCTGTTTTTCTGGGTTTTGTGCCTTGCCACCGCCTCACCACAATGAAGGTTAGTAGACTTTTTATGTAGAATTCTTCTCGTAGAATGCCACACGTTTCGTTTTTCTATCTCTAAAACGAGAGCTTTAGAGCTGAAAGACCTGATTAACGCTCCTGCATTTCACAGGCTAAGGGGATGTTCGTGTTCTACGCGTAAGGAAGCCGAGGCCTATTGAGGTTCTTACTCTTAATTCCCTTAAAAAACAAAACAAAACAACTAACACACTAAAAATTGTAGATGGACGCGTCCGCCTACATCATGCTCTCACTTGACTTGCGATTTCTCGAATATACAAAGAATATTCGATTCAGTTCAATTTCTTGAATATACAATGAATGAATCACATTGTGTCGTAGAAGCTGATTCTAAAGATGCTGTGTTCTGAGGGGGCTTTGACAGGAAGGACCTGGCGTGAAATCCACCTGACTGTGTCTGTCTGCTGTGGGAGAAGTGGCATCGGGAGCTGCACGGAAGGCGAAGATCCAGCCACACTTCTGCACTTGGGCCCCGTTCAGCCTCTTCTAGCGTGTAGACAGGCAGGCTAAGCCGCGCGTCCGGCTCCCCACTTGACTCTGTGATGTGAGGGCCTCCTTTCTTGACGTTCTCCAGTTTTGGTTTCCCATGTTTAAATAAACTGGGCCTCATGATTTTTACCCTTCGTGGAGCTAAATGCACAAGACTATTGCCTGGAGGTTCTTTGAGGGAGGCGGTGCTTAGGTTTGGAATGGCTCATCTCCACGGCCCTTGCCGGGCCTGCCGCTCGTGGGGACGTGTAGCACCACTGGCGGGTGGGTGCATTGACTGGTGCGTTTTCCCTTCAGCAGACAGTGCTGGCCGTTTTGCGCCATGTTAGGTGTCGTGAAATCTGGGGTCTAGATTTTACAGTGTAGGGCAGTGTCTGCTCATGGTCACCAGTGTACTGGGGGAGGCTGCTGAGGGCACCTCACCAAGTGTGGTCGGGAAGTGTGGCCAGGAGAAGGCCTGTGAGAAAGGGTTAAGGGATGGGTGCCGGGAGGCGGGAGTGGAGGGTTCCTGGCAGGACGTGTGAGGTGGAGGAAGTGGGGGGAGAAGTGGCCAGCAGCCTGGAGAGGAAGCTGGGGCCCTCTTCCTCCCGCTCCTCCTTCCTGGGATGACTGATGTTTGTGCATTCTTGTCCTAGTGTGAGAAACTTGGAAGGCCGTTGACATGGTTTACGTTTGGGTATCTAAATACATCTTTGTTATCGACATCTCGGAAAGAAATCTTTTCATAATTTCCCTGGCGCATTTGTGGGTGATTTGACTACAGTTTTTCTCTGGGGGTTCCTCCCTCATCAGAAGCTGTGCGTAGTGTTCAGGCAGTATTTGGGAGTGAGGTCTGTGTGCACTGGTGTGTGCACACCCATCGTGCGGCGGCTGGCAGGTATCTGGGCAGGCCATCGTGTGTACGTGTGTGAGAGTGCCAGGCCGACCCTCCCGCGTGCCTGGTCTGCGGGCGGCCGAGGTTGGAGGCGATGCAGACTACAGAGTCCTGGTCTGGCCTCAGGGCTGTGCCTGGACGGTGGAGGTGTCCTATTCCCCTACCCTGAGCTGTCCCCCTTCTGGAACCTGCTTCTCTTTTCCCTTCCTCGTGCTGCCAATTCCATGTTTCTCTTGCTGTGCTTTGCTGTGGAACAGGCTGTGGCTGGGGTGGGTTTGTGGAGGCAGCTCAGCCCCACCGAGGGCCCCCAGCCCCCCAGCCGCAGCTCCCTGGCTGGGAGGGCTCCTCCCCAGCTCGCAGAGGGGTTGGGGCTATGTGGGGAGTTGGCCGTTACGAAGCTGGTCTCACGGCCTGTGTCCTGGATCAGCGCGTGCCTGGGTGAGGAACGCGGTTGGACCCCTGCCCCTCTGCTGGCAGCCACGTCCCCTGGTCTGCCCCTTCCTGGCGGCCTGCATCTCAGCACTTGCTCGGCGGCTCCCTCCTGCCACGGTCGTCTCGTTGCTGTGAGAACTTCGTTTATCCTGCTCCCAGCCTATAAGACCCTACTAACTTGTTTAATTTTTCCTTTCAGACATTTGATGCAAATGATTTGTATCAGGGGCAGAATTTTAACAAGGTCCTCAGTTCCTTAGTGACTCTAAACAAAGTAACAGCAGGTAAGATTTTTTATTGAACTTGAGGGGGGAAGACGAAAGGGCAGAAACATTTGCTTTGTGGTTGACGAGGCAACAATGAGCATTATTGACTTGTAAAAATAAGCTGTCACGTTACGTACCCGGTTGTAAGTTTTGCTGTGATATTTTTTTCTTATTCGATCAAAGTCTTCCTCTTGGGGCCGTGGGTGGGTAGCGGCTGTTCTCCCTTCTGTGGGCAGAAGCATGTCTAGCTGAAACGGTAGCGGAGGAGGAATGTTTCTGGTGTGGCCATGCTCCTGGGCTGGCTTGGAGCTAGAAGCGCTTCTCTGGGTCTTGATGAAGTTCGTGCTGGTCAGAGCTCCTGCCTAGGGTGCGCGTGCAGTGGTGTTTCTGAGGTGTGACCATGACCAGGGGAGTGGCCATTGGATTGGCTCGTGAAGGGAAGCCGGGCCTGGGCCAGGCGTCCTGAGGGCGAAGAGGATGCCGGGGCGCTGAGTGGAGCTGGGCCCCCGACACTGTGAGGACAGGAGAGCTTCTGTGCGGATTTCTCGGAGGGAGGCCTGCCTGCCCCCTGAGCACCGAGCAGCTCTGTCTTTAGAGAGCTGTGTGGGTCGAAAAGGACTTAGTGGCTGTTGTGTTTTAAAGTCCGTTTTTCTTTTTCCATTTACTTTTTTTTTTTTAAATTTTATTTATTTGACAGAGACAGAGATCACAAGCAGGCAGAGAGAGAGAGGGGGAAGCAGGCTCCCCACTGAGCAGAGAGCCCAATGTGGGGCTCGATCCCAGGACCCTGAGATCATGACCTGAGGTGAAGGCAGAGGCTTTAACCCACTGAGCCACCCAGGTGCCCCTCCATTTACTTTTATACATTTTTAGGTTCAGATTTACTGGAGCAAGTTAGAGCTTGAGGTTTTGTGATAAGAAACCTCTTGTGTGTTTTGCGAGGGGCTCTTGTCCTTTTCTTCCTGGCCCTGCAGATGGGATGTGGGGGTAGCAGTCAGAACACTGGGCTGCAGTCCAGCTTGGGGTGCACTGTGCTCAGGGACTCAGGTGCCCCTTCCTAGAACTTGTTTGCTGGGATGGCGGTCCAGGTGCCACCCCCTCCCTGCGCAGAGGTGTGGGGTGGGTGTGGCATGGGGGGCGGGGGGCTGCCACCCAGAGCCCCTGCCCCTGCTTGCCATCCCCAGGCAGGGCTCTTGATGTGGCTCTGTTTTCCCAGCTTGACTGTGCAGTTTAAAGTCGAAAACTTCCTAGGGCCATTGAGGCGGAAGTATCTGGGGGATTGGCTCCACTGATATGTTAGGACCTTATGTGAGCCAGTGTGGGAAGGTTGGTGAGCATCTGAGCCAGGAGGACGGAGAGACCCGGATGGAGGAGGGAAGGGGGTTCTAAGTCCAGGAAGATGGGGAGAGACCCGGATGGAAGAGGGAAGGGGGTTTTAAGGCCAGGAGGAGTGGGAGACCCGGATGGAGGAGGGAAGGGCATTCTGAGGCCAGGAGGAGGGGGAGAGACCCGGATGGAGGTGGGAAAGGATGCAAAGACGCCCACACAGCACTATTCAGCCACTTGATGGTTAGCACACAGGACCTCAGGGCGTTCTTTAAAGGTTATGAGGCACTGAAGCTGTCTTCTCTGTCCCACACTGTAACGGAGGCAGCTTTGATGTGAACAGCCAGATTAGGAAGAGTTGTGGACCGGGCATCACGCAGTGACGGAAGTCTTAGAGTACTGGACTCGGATGGAAGAAGCCGACGCAGGGCAGGCATGGCTGCGTGTCTTTGCTGTGTGGGTCCTGCCTGCCAGCTGCTGCAATGACCACCCGAGCCTTAGTTTTGTGTCCGGGGACCGGTAGGGGTCTCCTGCAGACAGGGACGAGAGTGGCAGACATGGAAGCAATCCACACGTCATTTTTTAGAGACCCTTCTGCCCCTGGGGCCTCTTTCTCTGGTGGCTGCTCAGGAGGGAGGAGGGCTGCTTTGGCCTTGCTGTTGCTTGCTGGGTCTCCCTGCAGTTGAAGACCAGGTGCCAGCTTAGGAAAGGGGGGGTGCCCTGGGGCAGCTTTGGTCCATGCCCTCGGGTGGGGGTTCCTCGTCTTGAACGTGGCCTGGATCTGATGTCTCCTGGGCACAGTACCGTTGTTTGTACCCCTCTTGTGCACAAGAGTCTCACATACCGTTTAGAGCATTGGACACTTAGAAGATATAAGGTGTTCTTGACAAAGATCTGTTTGGAATGTTGCAAAATAAACCTGATAAACTTGGTACTCCTCCTTTCAGTGTTGACACTGGAAGCCTCTCAGCTGGGAAGGCCCCCCCCCCCTTTTAGAGCGAGAGCGTGCCTGTGCACAAGAGGGGAGGGGGCAGTGGGAGGGGGGAGGGAGAATCACAAGCAGACTCTGCTGAGTGTGGAGCCTGACGTGGGGCTCGATCCCATGACCCTGCGATCATGACCCGAACAGAAATCAAGAGTTGGACACCTAACCGACTGAGCCACTCAGGTGCCCCCAAAACTTCTTGCTTTTGTTTTGGACTATGTGCTCTTAAATTTTGTCACTGAAGTCAGTGTGATGGAAGTGACCGTCCTCTTCGATCTCTGTCTTAAAGACTGAGTAACAGCACAGTTGCCGCTGTTGGTTCCAGGCCTGTAGGCCTTGTCGAGAGAGGCATGTTCCGCTTGTGTTCTTTGGGAATATCGATGAACACTTGCCTTTTGACTGGGCAGAAAGTGGGAAAGACGGGATGTCCTGAGACCCTTTACTGCACTAATGGTCCCTTGAAAGGTGGAGTCTGGTGAGAACAGGGAACGGCACGTCGCCACTGCGGGCAGAATCCCCGTGAAATGTCCTTGAGGAGCTGGCTTTAGGCTCGAGGTTGCTGAGGCCTGTGCCTTGCTGTAGTAGAAAGGTCCTGAAGTAGGACCTGAGGACGGCAGCGGCCTGTTGGAGATGCTCGGGGCTGGCAAGGCTGTTTGAGGACCTCCACCAGACACCAGTGTCTGTCGAGCCACGTGGGCAGCAGGAAGGGCAGACAGAAGCCCAGTGAAGTGGGCCCCTCTTGATACACGCTGCCCTGCTTGGCTTCTGGGAACGCAGCCCCAGTCGTGCCCCACACGGGCAGACGCAGGCTTCCCTGGGCTTCTGCAAATCCCGGACCCTTCCTGGGGAGTCCTCAGAAGGGTCTCTAGCTAAAAGCTCTAAGGGGATTTTTCTCTCTCTTTTTTATTAAAGTAAGAGTCTTTCTTTGTTGCACACAGTTCCTGCTGGTTACTGCATGAGGCTCTGTCTGAAGTCGCGGGAGAGCGGGGATGGTGTGTTGGGAGTGCTGGGGGGACGCTCTGAGTTCGAGAGGCTTGTGTTTTCCATGTGAACCGGAAGATACTAAAAAGTTACAAAACCTTAAAGACATTTGAAAATTACACGGAAGAACTGATGAGTAGTTGGGTCCGGTATGTATCCAGAGCGTGTGCAGGCCGTCTCGGGTGGGCCGTCTGCGCTGCTGCATCCGTGGGCTGCTCTGTTGCCTGTGCCGTGTGTCCCCCGGGGGTCACCGCTGTTGAGAGCCTGGTGTGCTGCGAGGGTGTGTGCTTGCCAGAGTCTCAGCTCACTCTTCTCTCTGCACCACCATTTCAGACATCGGCCTGGGAAGTGACTCCGTGTGTGCCCGGCCCTCATCTCATCGGATCAAGTCTTTTGACTCCCTGGGAACTCAGCCTTCGCACAGTCGGACTTCAAAATTGTTCCAGGGCCAGTATCGAAGCTTGGTAAGTTTGTTGATGATCGGAGGGACGTTGGGGAGATGAGTGTGTGCAGGTGTGTCCAGAAAGGTCACGCGTGCCCCTGAACCTGGTACTGCCCAGCTGGAGGGTGCTTTTGCTTAGTTCCCGTTGTTCCTTTGCTGGGCTGTGGCGTTTGCATCTCCCGCATTATCCACGTTACCCTTGACTGCTTCTGAGAAACTTGCGCAATTTGGGTTATATTTTAAGATTCCTTAGATGTGCTCATCTAGGGAGACGGCTGCTTTAAAGTGTTACCCGGATCCTTGTATTTTATTTGCTTTGTGCAAACGTACAGAAGTATGGGAGTCAGAGCTTTAGATGTGCAAGGAAGAAATGGCCAACAGCTAAAGAATCAAAATGTGGTGTTTCTAAGCATGACCTAGAGTGCTTTCCTGAGTCTGCATGTGGTCGGCGAAGGAGGGACTCCCTTCGGATGGCTGGTGTTGATGTGGAAAAGGAACTGAAGTGAACGGTTATCCTGGGAGGTGGAGAAAGATCCACGTCTAAGTTGTTAGGATACAGGCCGTGAGCAGAGAACACCGGGCGGAGCCATGAAGCTGCACTGAGATGCAGCGCAGGGCGGGCTGGGGACCTGGTGTGGAGAGGCCGTCCCTGCTGTCCTGGTGCGCGCGCACAGCCCTCTTTGGAGCTCGTGGGTGCTTGTGCTTGGTCATGGGACTTCGTTTGCATGGATCACCTCAGTAAACCTGTGTTGGAGACCAGTGGTCTTGCCCATGAGTCTGAGGAGAACCTGGCTCTGAGTGACTGGGGGCCACAGATACGATGTCAGCTTCGACGCGGAAAGGAAGATTACGTAAGTTAATGGTGACACTAAGAAAGAAAGTGGCTAGAGTTGTATTTTGTGGAAGGAATTTGACTTTAATTCATGGAGGAGGGTTGAAAAGGAAGCTACGGAAGGCAGTGGGATATTTACGTGTTCCTGAACTTTGTGAACCCAGGTGAGACTTAAAATATCTCCGGCTCATTAAAAATTAATTCTGTGGTATCGTGATCCCAGGAACACTCACTGTTCGTTATTGGCTCTCCTCAGAGTGGCGCCATCACCGTCTCTGCTCTTGGATGTGCCACACCGCGTGTCACTGTTCTGTGCGCACTGTTCCAGGTGCTGTTCCCTGTACTCCCTCAGACGGCCCCCCAGTGACCCCATGAGGCACTGGGTTTCACACTAGGTGAATTTTGCAGCGCGCTATTGGGAGTATTTTGATTCTAAATTGAGGAAGAATACACAACCTACTTGAAAAACATTTTAAATGGAGGTTTTATAAAAATCTTGGGGGAATGTCGAAGAAAACAAACTTAACACACTCTGAGTAAAGAAATACCTGTTGCCTCACCCATTTACCTGTGCTAACTTTTTAATATTTTAGAGCATGAGTGCATGTGAGGTGGGGAGGGCTGCAGGAGCAGAGAGAGAATCCCAAGCAGGCTCTGCGCTGTGTAGCGCTCAATCCTGTGACCCTGAGATCACAACCTGAGCTGAAACCAAGAATCAGATGCTCCCAGGCACCATTACCTGTGTCCATTTTAACTACTTGTTTTTGAGTACCTGAGGACTTGATTGCAAATGTAAAATTTTAAATAAAATGCAGGTAAATGTAATGTTGACTAGTGAGTGTTCCTGGGATCATGATACCACAGAATTGATTTTTAATGAGCCGGAGATATTTTAAGTCTCACCAGAAACTAAAAGCCCCCTACCGTGTCTCCTGTTTGGCATCTGTGATCGGAAGAGACCCCATTAGCTGCTGGTGAGAGGAGCAGGGGCAAGGCTGCGTGCGGATGACCTTTGCCTTTAGGTTTTTCCGCAGGTGTTCACGGTCCTTGGAGGTAACTTTCTTGGATTAAACATTAGGATAAGGATGGCAAAATTTTTAAAGCTGGGTGATGGGCACCACAAAGAGATTATTTTCTTAATTTCATTTATAATTGTGCCAAAAAGAATAAAAAAGGAATAAACGTGATCCAGGGGGTGAACAGCTTGTACTGTGAACACTACAAACAGCGACGGAGCTCGAAGTCGATGCCGGCTGATGGGGACACTCCTGGGTTAGAGAGTCCGTGCCGCTCCCGGGCCCGTACTCCCCCGAGCAGTCTGCACACACCATGCGGTGCCTGTCAGGGTCCCAGTAGTTGGTCCCAGAACTAGAACAAGGCCTGGTACAGTTTTTGTGGAGCCGCAAAAGACTCGGAGTAGACAAGGCAGTTTTGAGGAAGAGCAGTGCCGGCAGTATGGCAGTCCCCGGTTTCAGGGTGCAGCGCGGTGCCGGCGCAGGAGTGGACACAGGTCAACGGGACAGAGCCGGGAGCCAGAAGTGAGCCTCCAGCTGTGCGTCTGATATCAATAAACATCATCTCAGTCGGTGGCAGAGGAGGTAAGAATATGCAACGGGGAAAGACGTTCTCTCTGAGCAGTGGTGTGGGGACAGCTGGACCGCTTTCGTACAGCACACACGAAAATAAACTCAGAATGGACGAAAGATCCAAATGTGAGTCCTGAAATCATAAAACTCCTAGAAGAAAACAAAGGCAGTCCTTTCTTTGACAACAGCCGCAGAAACCTTTTTCTTGGTAGGTCTCCTCCGGCAAGGGAAACAACCAACCATGAGGAGTGCACCAGAATGAAACGCCTTATTGTCAAAGGAGCCATCAGCAGATGAACTTGCCGAATGGGAGAAGTTTCTTGGAAGGGACCTATTTGATAAGGAGTTTGTATCTAAAATATGTTAAGAATTTACAGAAATGAACATCAAAAAATCTGATTAAGAAATGCACAGAGGACCTGAATAGACTTTTTCCCAAAACCTGCAGGTGGCCCGAAGACCCACGAGGAGATGCTGAGCGTCACTAACCATTAGAGACTTGTGTCAGAACCACGGCATGAGAGAACCCCTCACTCAGTCGGAATGGCTAGCCTCGGGCAGACCATTGGCAGGCCCCAGCGTAAATTCCTGCAGCCACTGTGGGAAACAGGATCGCGGGCTTCAGACTGAAACAGAAATGCCCTGTCATCTGGGACTCTGCTCTGAGTATGTGCCCGAAGAAAGCAAACGCTGATTTGAGAAGATCCATGCACGTCTGTGTTTGCTGCAGCATTATTTGTAGAAGCAACGCGAGTCCCCATGGACAGCTGAGTGAGGGCGTGCGGTATACTGCAAAGGGCCTATTACTCAGCCGTGAAGAGTAAGGTCACCTCACTGTGTAGCACGGATGGGCCTAGAGGGGGTGCTGCGGAGCGACACACGTCAGAGAGACAAGCACTACCTTAGTCCATTTGCAGTTGGTTTCTGAGAAACGAAATAAAAAGCAAAAACAAACCCATAGAGAACAAACTGATGGTTGCCAGAGGGGGCTGGGGGATGGGCAAAGTGGCCGAGAGGAAGGAGGAGAAGGACGACTTGGTGACACGTGGATTCCCAGCTGCCCATCACTTTCTGTTCTGTTTGACGTGTTCCATGGTAAGCTGAAAACGATCCGAGGTTTCCTGCACGAATTTTGCAATCTCCCGATCGTGTACGGCACTGCCGTTCCCAAGGCAAGGGTCGGTGCTCTCGGTGCTCTCTCAGGGCCCTTGGGCGCACGTCCTGACTGCGCTTGCCCCTCTGGTTGGCCAGGTCTCGCCGACCGCCGCCTCGGAGCTCGCTGTCCGCGCACTCTCGCTTCCGGGTCTCGGAATCCGGCTGCTCCCGGACGGTCTCCTGCGTGGGAGGTGGGTGCTCTTGAGCAGTCGCAGGGCGTTGTCTGCACTGACCGGGAAGCTCGGACTTCCTTCCCTTGGCCCTTCCCTGTCGCTCCCTCTTTATCCTTTTCGGGGGCGCCCTCCTGTCCCTCTGTGCCCTGAGTTTTCATCCCTTGACTCCCGGTAAGTGTGACGTGGGCTCCCGAGTTTCCCTCCACAGATGGGGAGAACAGTCCAATGAGGGGACGTGGTTGCTCCCGTCACCCTTGACTCACCTGACAGGAGCCCTAAAGCCCTCCTGGTCCCTGTGGTCCCTGCTACCTCCTGGGACTGGTCACTGAGCTCCCAGAACGGCCTCTAAGGCACGTAGGACCACATATCCGTGTGTTTTTCAGTTTTAACCTTCCCAGGTCCTCTGCCCAGCAAGCATGGAGTACTGGGCTGGCTCGGTGCACTAGATGTCCTCGATTCGGAATGCTCCCGAAAACCTTCCCACGCAGCTGACCGTAGCGAGTGTCTCACGGCTGATGGTGTGGGCCGGCCGCGTTTGGAACACAAAGGGGACATTGTCTAGTTGCTGGGTCTGCTTGACCGCGTACGTTCTGAGGAAACAGCCGCAGAGAAGTCACATTTACACACGGTCACGAGTCCGGGAAGGACTAGCTGGTGGAGTAGAAACTGGGTGTTCCCTGACGGGATTTTCTTCTATCGGTGGAGTTCTGAGCGCTTGCAGGGAGCAGAGGATGGGGTTCACGTGACGGCACGCGCCGGAACATCCTGGTTTCGGGTTACTAGGCTGACTTCAGAACGCGGGGTCAGAGCACTTGCTTGAGGCAGATCTGGATGCGCGTGGTATGACTGACAGGCGGGCCTCCGTAGGCCCAGGAGGTGGCCGGTGGTGGGGAAGGTTCCTGCTCCCAGCGGAGGCACTGTACCCCTACCCCTCAGTTTCCTCCCCTCACTGACCTGAAGCCTGGATCGAGAACAGCCTGATGAATGTCTACAAGTTGCACATCCCGTGTAAGATCGAGAAGCAGAACTTGACCGGACCAGCGTCACCTTTGTTAGGTCTTCCTTTCCCAGAGCCGTCTGCTGTCCTGATCTCTGATGGCAAAGCCAAGCTTTCCTGTTTCATAGTTGGCATAAATGGAACTGGTGCACGTACATGCTCTGTGAGCGGCTGCCCTCGCTCAGCCCATTACCTCGTGGGCTGCTGTGGGCTGTCCCCTTGGACCCGGAGACGGGGCGAGCTTTAGTTGCAGGAGTACTTTTAAAAAATGGGAAGAAGATGGGGCGCCTGGGTGGCTCAGTGGGTTAAGCCGCTGCCTTCGGCTCGGGTCATGATCTCAGGGTCCTGGGATTGAGCCCCGCATCGGGCTCTCTGCTCCGCGGGGAGCCTGCTTCCTCCTCTCTCTCTGTCTGCCTCTGCCTGCTTGTGATCTCTGTCTGTCAGATAAATAAATAAAATCTTAAAAAAAAAAAAATGGGAAGAAGAGAAATCCAAAATAAGGTAGTGGTTAAATACCTCCCGCGGTTCCGTGGCCCCGGGGGCAGTGACTGGAGCGTTCCTCGTCCGCATGGGTGAGGGCTCCGTGCGGCATCGTGGGTGGGCACGCCTTGCATCCCGCCTTGGGCGTCCTGCTCTCCTAGCACTCCTTAGGACAGCGTCTTCCATTGAGGTCTCTAGTAGGTCCTGAACTGGTGGACGTCTGTGGAATCAGAAATTTAGATGGATCTAGGCTGGCTGCCTGCCTGTCCACGGGCCCCTGTCCTTCCCCTGTGGAGTGGCCGTTTCTGAAGCGGAAGAGGCTTCTGTGGTGTTACTCTAGTGTGTGCCCGACTGCAGAGAATTTGCAACTTGTGGGGAGAGTGTAGTTGACCTCACTTGTCATGTTCCGGTCTCCTTGGTGCCCGGGGAGGGCCTCAGCACTGGCTGCCGAGCTGAGGTGGATGGGCTGACTGCAGGGTCGCTCCTGGGTGGTGGCTCGGCCTCCCGAGGGGCCCGCTCTGTGCGTGTGCCCGGTTACGTGTCGCATCCACTGTGGAAGGTGATGACCAGGATGGGCGCTGTGCGGGTTTTGCACCGAGCCAGCTTGCCCCGGGTGGTCGCGGAGAGGAGGGCGTGGCGGACGGCCTGTGCGGGACGGCTTGTGCGGGACGAGCCGACCCAGAGTGGCTGCTCAGCCTGCTTCCCTCCCCAGAGCGGGGACATGCGTGCTCTTTCCGGGGGGCTTCAGCTGCCCCTCACTGCTCGCGTGCGCCAGCAAGCGTCACATTTGAGGTGATCGGTTGGCCGGAGCTTTGTCTTTCAGTGTTGCCAGATGCTAAGACATGTCCTAAGCATTAAATATGCAGTGCGTGTGACGTGTTTAATTTACTAGGTGAAACGTTTAATAGATGTGTTTAAGCAGATCAATTTTTATAACATGTTGATGTGAGATACACAAGTATTACACATTTGGGGAGCTGTCTGCCCCTCCTCGAGCTCTGTCCCCGTGTCTATGCTGCTTTTCCTCGGTTTGGTGACACATGCACCTAGTTCGGAATCGGGTCCTTCAGGACTTGGGGCAGGAGGAGCCAGGCGGCCGGCCACCTCCCATCTCTGCCACTGTCTCAGTGAACGCCTGTGTGAAGCTTGGTTGCTTAAACCTGCCGTGGAGTAGAGGTGTGGGGGTCTCACACTGCGCCCCAGGCCCGTACCTTCCCCCTGGATTTCCCCTGTGGTTTCCGTTGGGTCCAGTCCACATAGCATCACCACGTCCCAGACCCACAGCGTGGCCGGGACCTGTGCGGTGACTGTTGGTCCTTTCCTGACCACGTTTTATTGTCCAGAACTAGGAATGGTTGCCGTTGGAGCTTTCTCTGCACTGTTCCTGACTGCAGCCCTGGTCTGCCAGTTTCCAAGAGTCTCCTGTGCTTCCGGACTGGGGAGCGTTTCTCACTCCTCCCCCGGGAGCACCCCTGCAGTCTCGTGCCACCGTGGGAGCTGTCCTGCGCCCACCCTCCCCTCCCTCTGAGCCCCGCTCGTCCCTCCCGCCACCGTGCAGAAGATGGAGTCGTCTGCTCTTCCCTGGCTGGCTCCCCTGTTGTGGGGCACAGCTTTCAGAGCCTCATGAGGAGTGGGGCTCCGTGGGCTACGGGATGTCCTGCCCCGTCCCCTGGGACCCCTGGGTGCAGGCCGACAGGGTGCGCCCCGTCAGGGGGTGAGCGGGCCTGCCTGTGGCCCCTCCCACCCGGAGATGAGGCTTTCCTTGGGGCCAGTGTTTGCTTTACTCCTCTTGGTAGTTCGCAGTGGCAAGCCTCTGCAGAAGCGAGGCTGGGATGGATGGAAATAGAAACTCTATCCCGTCTGCCTCCCTCTTCCCACCTTTCAGAGATGGGCACATGTGCTTCATCTCCAAGGACAAAATGCAGATGGAAAGGAGATACCATTTCTTGCCAGCAGTTGGGCGCGAGTAAAAACACCGCGGCATCCCGTGCCGGCGGGCGTGCAGAGCGCGCGCCGGCCCTTCGGCGCCGTCGGTGGGAGTGCCGCGGCTGTGAGCGGGGCCTCTGGAGGGCAGCGTAGAGATCGGTGCCGAAGTTGAGTGTGTCATACATGTTTTCTGACCCGAATTTAATGTGTAGGCTTATTCAGAGGCGTGTGCAGAGATGTGCAGAGAGTTTCAACGGAGCCTTGTGTGGCGGGAGAAAAACAGGAGAGACAGCCTTCAGTCCAGGAATGGAGAGTGAGTTGGTGGCACAGCCGGACGGTTAGTTATGTGGTTCGTTAAGACTGAAGTGATTCTAGTGCTAGAAGTGACCACACTCTTAACTTGGGGTTGTGCAGACGCTCCGTATGCTTTGATGTCAGTGTACGTGTGAAAGTGTGTAGTGTGGACACAGGCCTAACCGTGGCAGAATAAAGCCTCTCAGGCATGAAGAGGGTTTCCTCCGGGACGGGAGCCGGGTGCTGGCAGTCAGGGCACTGGCGCAGGTCCCCAACCTGTTTGTGTGCTTGGACAGTTTTTCTGCTCTTGGCACAGGGCATCCCAGTCAAACATCATCTGCTTTGATGTGAAGTAGACGCCATGAAGTTTTTCTCCCCCTTCTTCCCTTTCAGGACATGACCGACAATAGCCACAGCCAGCTGGTTGTGAGAGCCAAGTTCAACTTCCAGCAGACCAACGAAGACGAGCTCTCCTTCGCCAAGGGAGACGTCATCCATGTCACGCGGGTGGAGGAAGGCGGCTGGTGGGAGGGCACGCACAACGGCAGGACCGGCTGGTTTCCTAGCAACTACGTGCGGGAGATCAAGCCGAGCGGTGAGTGCTGCGCTGGTGGAGGGGCTGCTGCCTGCCCTCTGGGCGGGAGGCCGGCAGAGGGGCGGGCGCTGCACGGGGGGGGGGCGCTTCTCTCCGGGTGAACTTGGGGAGATGGCCTTGGGCAGAGGAGTCATGCTCTTGCCCACTGCTTCTTCCATCCGCCTTGGGGTGCTGGCATGAAGGGTCCATCCTTAGAGTAGCATTTCATTCAGTCCTTATAATCCATTTAAAATAAGGACTTGGGGTTTGCCGTGTCACACAGGCTGTTAATTTGTATCACTACGGGTGCTTTCGGCAATGAGGTATGATTTGTTTTTCTTCGTAGGGTGTTTTAAAATGCATCACTTAGTGTATGTTTCCTGTAATCAACTTCATTGACTTCTAAAAATTTATTCAGAGGCTGATGCTATTTGAAAGGGCGTAGTAGTGGTTGCACTTCCTTCATTTCTGCTGTGGGATTCTTGAGGAGTTAGAAGTTCTGAGGCCTTGGGCCGAGCCTTCTGTCAGGGGTGTGGCCGTGACAGTCTGTGCCCAGCCGTGTCCTCTGCGTGTGCGGTCCTGCTTGGGGCTGTGCCGGGACAGCGGCTGTCCTTCCGAGCGCGTGTCTCTTCGTGGCGCAGCTCGGGGGCCCGCGTGCGCCGTGTACAGGACTGCTGGCTTCATGGGTGCGGCCGCGGAGGTCTTGGGCACACGGGTGACCACGGGCACTATGGGCTTGGGGGAGCCGACCCCGCGGCGCAGCCCCAAATGTCTGTAGCTCTGACACCCAGCAGCTACTGTAGCAGCCTGCCGCTGAGCAGACGCCTTACTGGGGAGGCGAACAGTGGGTGAGCATGTGTTTCTTGGGTCCCCCGGTGCTGTCTCCTTACAGTAAAGTCAGGAGGCCTTGCTGAAAGAGCAGAAGACCCTGCACACTTGTAGTCCTGCTGCGTGTGGGAAAGCGTCCGCGCCGAGGGCCCTGCCCTTCCAGCCTCTGCTGTCCCAGGCCCGCTGTGTGAAGCCCTCGGGCCGCTGTGAACGTGGCGCTGCCTGCCCCCCCCCCCCAGCCCTTCTGACACCAGCTGGGTGGTGTCTGCGCAGCTTGGTGACCTCACTGGTAATTTGCTGGTGATAAGAGCACTGGGGGCGTCTTTTGTTCCCATACTTGGCCTTTGAGCGTATTTCCTGACACAGAGCCCTCAGAGCCCTGCTCATTTCCTGAGTCCCGAACCAGGGGGCAGACCAATGTTTTTCTGTTTCAAGACCACGTTTCACTTGTCCATTCATTGATTGCTGGACATTTGTTTTTTTCCCACCTTTTGCTGTTGTCAGTAGTGCTGTTGTGAACCTGGGTGGGATCTGCTTCAGTCCTGTCCGTCTTCTCTGCCGTGTGCCTTGGGGTGCAGTTGGCTCCGGGTGCCCATGAGACCCTGACGAGCCGCCTTGTTGCTCCCTCCAGCAGTGCACGATGGTTCCAGTTTCTCCATGTCCTTGACCACACTTTCTGTTTTGGGATAGCAGTTATCGGGTGTGACATGGTACTTCACCATTGCCATTTTCCTCTAGTTGATAACAAAGACTGTATCTTTACTGCAATAAAGGTCACAGTAAATAGTGTCTTTGTTGCTTTTGTTTTGGTTATCGTGTGAAGTGCTGTAACTGTGGCCTCATTCCATCCCCACCCCGACCCCCAAAGCTGTTGGGATACTTAGGTTCTGGGCCCAGATCCTCCTAATCCACGCAGGTGTGCAGCCAGCTGTGCCCTCAGCACTGGTGTCGGGCTGACTGGGGTGGAAATGTCGCCTTAGTCTCACAGACTCAGCTGCTGGGCTGGGCCTGCCAGTAGTCCCTGGTCAGGCCCCGGGAAGGAAGCCCAGCTCCCGGCCAGTCCTGCAGTCTGATGGCCATCCTGGGGGCCAGGAGTGCTGCCCTGGGCCATTCCCAGGAGGATGCTGGAGTTGGGGAAGGGTGAGGAGAGGGTAAGGTGGTCTTTGCCTTTACCAGTGAGGGCCAGGGGGCCACAGAGCTGGTGCTGGGGCAGCCATCACTGTGGAGCCCGGCTTGGCCCATCTCTGTTGGATGTGGGCCTTGAATTCTGCTGCGAGTGACTCATTTATTTTCTGTTTATTAATTTTTAAAGATTCTGTTTATCTGAGAGAGAGAGCGAGCAGGGGCAGGTGGCAGAGGGAGAGGGAGAAGCAGACTCCCTGCTGAGTGTGGAGTCTGATGTGCGACTCGATCCCAGGACCCTGAGATCGTGACCTGAGCCAAAGGAAGGCGGCTGCTTCGCCGACTGAGCCACCTGGGTGTTCCACAAATGACTCATTTTATTTATTTATTTAAAAAGATTTTATTTATTTATTTGACAGAGATCACAAGTAGGCAGAGAGGCAGGCAGAGGGAGAGAGGGGGAAGCAGGCTCCCCGCCGAGCAGAGAGCCCGATGTGGGGCTCGATCCCAGGACCCTGAGATCATGACCTGAGCCGAAGGCAGAGGCTCAACCCACTGAGCCACCCAGGCGCCCCATGAATGACTCATTTTAATGGGAATCTTGGGCTGACCTTGAGTTGCCGCAGGCAAAATGCAGGCAGAATTTTCCTTGTCAGGTATTTCTCTCCTCGTGGAGTTTTGAGTCACCCTTTGACAGTTACGTGGAAAAGATAGTCCATGAGTCTCAAAGTCCTCTTCCAGTGGCGTTTGGGAGTTGTGTCCCCAAGGACGTGGGCATGCGAGGTGTTGCTCCTGGTGGTTCGTGGTTTCACCACGCCCTCGTGAAGTCTGGTGGTGCCGCACCAGGCCTTGTTCCGGGGGGTGCGGGGCCAGACGGCTGGTGGGGACGAATGCAGCGCTGAGAGTAACTAGCTGTTACGTGGGGGGCGGGGGCGGGCGGAGTTGACTTAAGGAAAAAAAGTATTTAGAAGGGGCACCTGGCTGGCTCGGTCAGTGCAGTGTGCGGCTCTTGGTCTCGGGGTCGTGCATTTGAGCCCCCACATTGGGTGCAGAGATTATTTCAAAATCTTTAAAAAAGAAAGCCGTTGCGCGTCTGGGTGACTGCATGCTGTTCCACCAGTTTTTACGCCTTACCCCGTGTTTCTCTGTGCACGCCCGTGAGAGACCCTTTTAAACACGTCACCACATCGGGTCACATGGATCCCAGGTTTTTGTACTGGATGGAGACAAGTAACTTTGGGAGATTTCCTCATTTTCTGTTTATTTAAAGTGTAAAGAGCATGTTTGCTCCAGCTGGTGGCCCGTCATGCCAAGTGTTCTTTAGCTGACAGTCAGGCTGAAGGGATAACCTCCTGCGCCGCGTTCACAGATTATCTGAGTACGTTCTAGCGAAACTTCCCCCTGTCTGAGTTTAGATGTGGGCATTTAAGACAGACAGGAAATTCTGTTTTTACTCTATCACCGCACAACAGTGGAGAACTCGAGAGCCACAGTGGCCTGCTGGTGTTGTCATTCCTCAGTGACTCCCGTGACTTTCTGATTTTGGACAAGTGTTCCTTTTTGGAAGGATGTGTTTCAGATAAGCATTGTAATTCACAGTATAATTCTTCATTTTCCGTAAACAAAACGTGCTAGATCTGTCAATCACGTAGGATCATTTCCTTGTAAAACAAAAATGTGGACATCCTTTAAATTGTGAGTTTCTGCTTGTTACAGTTCTGATTCATGAATCGTGTTCTTGAATAAACACACCCACAGTCAGCCTCTCAGTGACCCTTTCTGGGCTGCCTCTAGGTAAGTGCTCGAGGATGTCTACTTCATCTATCGCGCTTCTTGGAAGTGTAAGTGGCCGTGAGCGTTTGGCCTCGTAGCTGCAGGCTGTAGCCATCCTGGGGGGCTTCACCTGTGTAGGCGTGTGCCCTTGACCTGTGTGTACCTTCTTGTTTCAAATAACCTTCCCTGAAGACTGCTGTCCCCCAAGAGTCTGTAGAAGGACGTTTCCATAGCTTGCTGTGAGTGTGCCACGTACCTGTTACTAACATTGACTTTCCATGCGTATTGTTTTGATATGTAAAAAACATGGAATTCTGCTTTTTGTACACACAAGGGGTATGTTTTATGCACGTTCAGTGAAGAATTTCTTAAATTGGAGACCGAAGGAGAGAAGCAACAAGGCGGGCGGTCCTGGGGGAGAGGGTGCTGCTGGCTGCTGCTCTTGAGTCCGTCTGCTGGTAGCTGACCTCCCTGCAGGTCATGCAGCCCTGGGCTGGGGGGGTCACGGTTCCTTCTGACATCAAAAAGTGACCCAAAACGCAAACTGGGTTTAATTTTGTTGTGGAAGAACCGTGTTATGGATGTAATCTGCAGGGAAGGGATCAGAGGTGACGAGTGTACTTTTGTATTGCTGGAAGTGTGTGTGTGCATGTGCGACGTCTGGGTTCTGCGGGCCTGCAGGGTAAGGCTGCTCTGCGGGGGAGGCCTGGCTGCCGTTCCTTCCAGGTGGAGAGGTGATAACAGGCGGGAGAGTTACCCCATGTAAGATTGTACCTCTGACGCGCGTGTGGGGAAGCCGGCCGGGCATATGGAGGGTCTGGGACGTGAGGCTGTGGCGCCTTCTCGGCCTGTGGGAGTGAGCGTTGCTGCAGGTGAGCGAGCACGCGCGGCCCCAGACGGCGGTGTCGGCAGGTGCCGTAGGGCGTGTTCTGCGCGAGGCTGTGGCCGTGGCCCGCGTCTGATGCTGCTCCAAGGACGCGCCCCTAGGGAGCTGACGTTCAGTCGTCGGGGGCTCCGAGCTGACAGTCCTCCAGTGTTGAGGATGTTCTTTTAAAGTGCTGTGTGTGCTTCTGAGACCGTCGGGTGGTGGGAGCCCGTAAAGACCAGGCGAGGAGGACAGCGCCCCCGGGGATGGAAGCGGAGTTCCGGCTCCCCCGCCCCTGCATCCGGCCCAGAGCCCCCCTGCAGCCCCCTGCAGCACACATGGGGCTTCCTGTGGGCGGACGTGCATCCGGGAGACGCGCTTCCTGGGTGCCTCGTCTTCCTTCCCTCCCTGCGTAAGCCTGGACACTCCGTTTTCTTCTCCCGTTGCTTCCCTTCATCGGTAATGCTTGACCGTAAACTCGGGGGGTGCTTGGCTGTGACCCACTATGTAGCACAAGCTCCCACCTTGGCCTTTCCCACCTGTCCGCTCTGCCTTGGGTCGCCTGCGCTCTGCGCTTGGTTCCGCGACCACCGGCACTGCCCAGCCGGCACACGCTCTGCTGTGGGAACTAGGAGAGTAACAGTGAGAAAACCTAGTGTCCTTCCAGAGATCGTGAAGCTTGCCTGTGGCTCTCTGAATAGAAAATGAGGTGGAGTGGACAGGTGAGAAGGCGAATGTCCTTTGGGCATTCTGCTGCCATTAAATAAAAGGCTGAGAGGTGGAATGGGGCGTGCTGCGTAGACCTTACCCAGGTTCCCTGGGCTCGGTAAGCCGGCTCAGAAAATCACTGCTGGCGGGCTGGAGAGTAGCGAACTCCGACAGCAACTGGCATGAGAGGGTAGGAGCCCCTGTTTTGCCCACTGTGGCAGTGGCCTGATGGTTGGGTTTGAAAGTCCAAGTCTGACAGACACCGTGAAGTATTGATGGTAACTTGCTAGTGTCTGGGATCCCCTGCATGATGCTTCTAGAAAAGGAGGAGGGATCTCAGGGTTAACTGCTGAAGCTACGGAAGAGCTGGTTACAGACCTGGCTTTGGGGTTCGCGGGGGTGTACCCTGGCTTGCGGAAGTGTCCCTACAGAGGGGGCAACATTGGCCTCCTGAGGGGCTCCCGGAGTTTCTGTGGCCCCAGGCAGATCCTGGTGGGCCTGTGGGGCTTGGTGTGGATTTGGGCCTCCTCCCGCGGCTGGGGTTAGGCTCCGGGTTTTCATCTCTCCCGTGCCCGAGTAGCCAGCCCACGGCCTTGCTGGTTCTCTGGGTCGCTGGGCAGGGGCTTTAAGCTTCTCTTGGTCAGCCTGAAGGGTCAGCAAGAGGTCCCCCAACCTCAGTCCCCAGGGGCCCTCCCTGTCAGCGCCACTAGGGATTCCCCACCCCCTTTTCTGGTTTAGCACATTTATGTTTCAGTTTTCTTGTTTTTGGCGTTTTTAGTCTATTGCAAGAAGGGGAAGATCTGCATCCTCTGGCCCCTGGCAGGGCGGCATGAAATCATGTCCTGGTGGTTTCCCTGCCGTTCAGTCACAGTGGACCGTGTCCGTGCTTAGAGCTCAGGTGCGCCCCAGATGGGATGTTGGTGTTTGTTTTGTTTTTGTTTTCTTTTTCTTTTTCTTTTCTTTTCTTTCTTTCTTTCTTTTTTTTTTTAGGATACTGGGAAGGCTGAGTATTTTCTAAAGTTTCCTATGCACATTTTTTGTTACAATTGGCCGTGACTTCTTGTCTGGTACATCACACTTCAATGTGTGTAGGTCTTGTTGTCCTTATGTTTTAGGGATGTGGGGGTAGGGAGAGAGTGCCAGAAGGCTCCCTAAGGCTGCTCAGGAGTTCTCTGGTAAACCTGGGAACCTAGGCCCCTGCCGCTCTGCTGTGAGGAAGTGTCCCCTCCGGGCATGGCTGTCCTGAGAGTCTAGACACTGGGATGCGTGTGGGGTAGGCCCTCGTGTGGCTGTTGGCAGGGACCCTGCCGAGCCCTTGGCCTCAGCCTCGTGCGCTGGCGGATCAGGTCAGCAGTGTCCTGCCAGCTGGGGGCGTCGGTGTCGCGGCAGGGCGGCTTGCTTACACGGCACCGCAGGCCCCTCCTTACCTCAGGGCCCTCAGTCGGGAATGGCACACGGATTTGCGGGTGATGTTCGCAAGCCCTCCCGTGCAGCAGGGGCCGTGCAGCACCCGGCAAAGCTGTGGGCTCCCTGTTGGGAAAGGGAGAAGAGACCAGTGTTTCCACGCTGCCTGCATTGTCTGGCTCTCTGCTGTTCTCTGTGTATTTTTATATAATGTTAGGGCCTGAAACTTTTATTTTTTAATTTTTTTTAAAGATTTTATTTATTTATTTGACAGAGAGAGATCACAAGTAGGCAGAGAGGCAGGCAGAGAGAGAGGAGGAAACAGGCTCCCCACTGAGCAGAGAGCCCGATGCGGGGCTCGATCCCAGGACCCTGGGATCATGACCTGAGCCGAAGGCAGAGGCTTAACCCACTGAGCCACCAGGCGCCCATGAAACTTCTTTTAAAGAAACTTCCTTACAGTTGTCTGAGTGCGTGCATCGAATACTGTTGCCTGTGGGGTCGTGAGGTGTGTCTGAAGTGAAGTGAGGCCGTTGGCAAGTGATTTGCTCTCACGGTTGAAGGCGCCTCAAGGCAGCAGCATGTGTGTTGGGAATTGTGGTCTCCGTGGCTGCCGTTCAGGCACCAGTGCGCTCCCCTTACTTCTGTTGGTGTTCGTCCCCTAGAGTACGGTTTGAAAGATGAGCTATCGTCAGGGAGAGCCAAGCCGGTTTTGTCTGTAGTTCCACACCTGGCTGCAGACGGGCGGAGGGGAAGGAAAGTGCAGTGGTAGAACGGATCCGCCGTCCCTAGGGCTTCGGAAGGAATTTTTCTCTTCCGTCCCGTGGGCAGACAGCTGCATTCTTTCACCTGGGGTACCACCGTTTCGTTGAAGGCAGGCTTCGGTGCACAGTTGTGCAGGAAGGGGGGGCCCACAGTGTGTGTGCGTGTTAGGCTTTTGGGGTTTCTTTCGCTAGGAAGACAATGGCAGCACTGGACAGACTGGTTGGAATCCGGGGCGCGGGGCTTGCGGAGTGTTTGCGGAAGTGCGGGGGAGATTGCGCACAGGCCGGTGGAAGGTTGCTGAGCACAGCCTCCCCCCGGGCCAGAGCGTGGATTTATGCAGGGGAGGTGGGTGGGCACCGTACGGACGACCTCTCTTAGGACACGCTTCTCAGGATTTCTCCTCGCCCTTGCTCCCTGCCGGCCCCCGGAGCCTGGAGGAGGAGCAGAGGGCGACGCGCACCATCCCCCCGAGAGCCGTGTTCTCAGTTAGCAGACGCTGCTCTGATAGCTGTCACGCCGCATTAAAACTGGGCCATGCACCGATGCTTGCGTCCCTGCCGTCCTCAGGAGTGCGTTCACCGTCCTCTCTGGGGCAGACGTTCTTAATTAAGGCTTCCTGGTGTCTTGTCTTCTGTCCCTGCTGGGCGTGGCTCTCCTTCTTTGCTTATCACTTGGAGGCAGATCCTACCTGTTCAGAGACACTCGTGTTCTGAGTGCCCTGGAGTGTGCAGGGATAGTCCAGACTGGGGGTCGCCGCCTTCGTCTCTATTCTGTGCCCCTAGTATTTTGTCTCCACGATGCTCCTGAGTTGTGGGTGTGGCTCTGCGGGTGTTCTTTGACCTGCTGTCAGCAGTGAGCACGGTCTGTCAGATGTCGAGTCTGGATGGGGGGTATGGGGTGAGCGACGGATGGGGCGGGGAGACGCTGGCTCCTGACCTCAGAGAGCTGAGCATGAGGGGGAGAGACATGGGTCTCTGTTCGGCTTCCCTTTTTGGTGGGTCGTTTCAGCAGCGGCTCCGGACCCGTCCCTCTGGGCTGCGTGGGGCTGGCGTGTTTGGGGGTCTTGAGTGCTGGTCAGTAAAATTGTGTTACGTTTTCATTTCAGAAAAGCCTGTGTCACCCAAGTCAGGAGCGCTGAAGAGCCCCCCCAAAGGATTTGACACGACTGCCATTAACAAAAGCTATTACAATGTGGTGAGTAATTGCAAAACCTGTTTTAAGAATAACTTATTTTTGAGCGTGTCCACCAGTCTGTGACGAGGCATACAGGTGAACTATGGCACGAGGGAGGGCCTAAAAATGGCCTGTGACCGGCCGCACAGTCACAACCACCTAATGTTCTGCCGTCTTCTCTTCTCATCTCTCTTTTGTAATCTGTTTTTGTTTCAATATTTATGTAGAATTGTGCCATTTTTGTCACATACTGTAGGATTCCCTCCTCCCACTTCCAGTCTTCCAAGAGGAGATTGTGGAAAGGCTCACGATGTGGTTTAAAGCCATTACAGGCATCAGGGGACGTTTTACTTGTGTTAGACGGGAGTGTGAGCTCTGGAGGTCCGTTACCGTGTGCGCTGGCAGGTCCCCTCGCGGAGTCTTTCCTGGGGTTGCTGCGCACATCCGTCAGCCAGCGCGGAGTCTTAGGAGAGTGTCTCCACGTACGTAGGGTGAGTGTTTCAGAGTCTGAAGCTGCATTTGGAGCTTAGCAGTTTGTGAAGTGTAGTCGAGTCCTTCCTGGCCCCTCAGCCGTGCCGTGGGCTGCAGAGGGAGGAAGTGCTCCTGTTTATTTGACAAGCCTTTGAACTGTGGCATAGATCGGTGTGCCAGGCCAGCGAAGTGAACTTTGTCACTGCGGATCCGTCTTACCCCGTGGAAAGTCTGCATCTGGGGTTTCTTCCCCGCGCCGTCTTCCAGAGAAAGTGTCCCGCCCGGGGCTGTCTCTCCGAGGGCGTGGGGCGGCGCATCTTTGCCGGGAGCGGCTCTGGGCTGGTGCTGCTGCGAGCGGTCCTGAGGGGCTCGGTGTCGGTGCGGCTGGCGGGGAGGCCGAGGACGCGGGAGGCTGGGCCGTGAGTCCACATCTCCGGCGCACTGAGCGCGCTGTCCGTGGGCCGCGGACCTCGCTGGGCGCCATGAGCCCCGGACGGTCGGTTGTCGGAACGCGCGTCGGTTCGTAGCTGCTCCGCACGGGCCTGGCGGGGGCAGCGGCTTGTAGCCGTGGGCAGAGGTGCAGCAGGGCGTCCCCCCGCTTCTCACCTGTGGGTGCGGTTCGTGGCTTCCTCTCCCTGCCCCCACCCTCGTGTCTGCGCTGCCTCTGCCTGGTTTCCCTTCCATGCTTCCCAGTCCGCAGCCTCCGTGCGATGCCCTGGCCGTCTCAGGTTGGTTTCTTCCCGTTGGCCGATGCCAGGCTCCTCCACTGAGCAGCCCTTCCCTTGAGTCTCAGCCTCTGCTTCTCGCACTTCAGTTCTTCTCCCGGTGTCCCTGCTCCCGCTGAGCACGGGCTGCCACGCCGCCTCTGCGCCGATGGAGTGCCAGGCCTCCCCGGCACAGCCCGTACCCCGGCTCGGGGGGCGCCCACCTTTCCCGGTCGCGCTCTGCCCTCCACCGTACTCTTTGGTTCTTTGTTGGTTGTTTGTTCTGGGATCGGGGCTCTGCGGAGAGCGTGGGTTTTCCGCGTGTGTTGTGCTCCGTGCGTGGCTCTGTGCACAAGGCCACAGTAAGAGTCGTCTTGTGGCTCTTCGGGGTTTCACAGGACGAGGACTGTGGTGCTGCTTTTTCCTCTTGTGTTCGTATGTGGGACGTTGGTTTCTTTCCAGGGAAGGCTTCCTGTGGCGAGTACGAGTCCTACCGCGCCGTGGTGCTCTGAAGGTTGGCTCTGTGACCGCTGCTCCTGTGTGATGGTCGAGACAAGCCCAAAACCTGGGGGTACAAAGTGATTCGGGGGGACTTAAGACTGTCACGGGACATTCGTCCTGTTTCCTCTTATTGGGACTCCCGCTGCGCATGTGGTCAGTGCACTGGTGTCCGCCAGCTCTCTGAGGTGCTCTTAATGTTTCTTCGTTTTTCTCTGTCCTTCAGACCGAATAATCTCTACCGTCCTCCTTCTTGGCCGCTCTTCCGCATTTCAGATCTAATGTTGAGCTCCTCTAGTGAATTTTTCACTCTGTCACACCTTTCAGTTCATCATTTTCCATTTGCATTTGTTCAGATTTTCCATTTTTTAAAAAAGACTTATTTATAGTGAGTGCGCAAGTCCGTGGAGGGGAGGGGCAGAGGGAGAGCGAGAACTGGAAGCAGACCCTGCTGAGTGTGGAGCTGGACACGGGGGGCTCGATCTCATGACCCTGAGACCACGACCTGAGCTGAAATCAAGAGCTGGACTCTTAACTGGCTGTGCCCCCCCAAGCGCCCCGACTTGGTTATTTTTATAGTCGGCTACAGACTGTAGCCCTCGTTTGACTTGAGTCCTCGTTGGACTTGACTCCTTGAGAGCAGGGCTAGGCTCGCAGTAAAGTTGGGAGGATGATGGCGATCCCGCAGGCCTCCTGCCTCCAGATGTGCACGGCTTCCCCCGTGCTCAGCATCTCCGGCGGCCTGATGGCACTCCTTTTAGTGTAAGACAGTAACTCACTGTCTGGATGGACCGGTTCATCCATCACCTGCTGGAGGACATGGCACCTGCTTCCACGTGCCGGGAGCTATGAATAAAGATGCTGCAAACCTGCGCGTGCTGGTTTTTGTGTGCACGTGTTTTCTGCTCCTTTGGGTGAAAACCAAGGAGGGCTGTTGTTGGGTCGTGTGGTGAGAGCATGCTCCGTTCTGGAAGACGCTGTCACACTGTCCTCCAGTGGAGGACTCCCGTGGGCTGTCTTCACTGTGCCTGCTGCCGTCCGTGGTTGGGGTTTTGCTGAGGTACTAGGTGGGCGTGCTGTCTCCTTGTTGGTGACAAAGGACGGGAGCATCTTTTCATGTGCTGGTTTGCCATTTGTGTGTTTTCTCTTGTAGGGTTTCTGTTCAGTTTTCTGTCCATTGTGCACTTGGGCTCTCTTGCTGAGTTGTACGAGTTCTTTGTGTTTTGGAGAACAGTCTTTTACCAGATGTGTCACTTTCCCCCAAAGCCCCTCTGACTGCAGTTTGAGGACAGCGGGCACCGGTGTCGCTTTTGTGGCGTTTATCCTGCTGGTGTGTTCTGTGTTTCCTGGGATCTGTGGCTCCGGTGTGTGACACTGGTTAGGGGTTCTCAGTCACCACTGTTCAGTCTTTCTGTTCCTGCTGCTCCCGCAGTCCCGTCCTGTGTGTGTCACACCCGCTGCTGTCCCACAGTCCTTGCACGTTCTCTTGTGTTTTCCTGTGTCTTTTTGGTCTTCAAGGATTCCATTAGCAGCCGGAGCACTCTTCGGCACGTCTCGTCTACTCACGAGACGGTCACACGTGTCCTTCCTTCTTGTCGGTGTTTATCGGTGTGCGGTCTTACGCTTTCCGTCTCTCCGCCGGCTTCTCTCGCACGCGGCCTGCCTTATCCACTGGCGCCCTCAGCATATTAATCGTCGTGATTTTCTGTCCCTCCTGGGACTGTTCCCGCATCCCCACTGGAAGCCCAGGGGCATTTTCCTCGGGTATTTTGGGAACGTAGCGAACCCCGGAACGTAAATCCCCAGCGTTGTGGGGGCCGCTACAGCTGGGTCTCCCCGGAGCTGTTACCGCTCAGCGTGTCCGCCCTGAGCCTCCAGCCGTCCGTCCGTTCGGGTTCCTGCTTTCCAACCCAGTTGCCGCTCCCCGGCTGGTTTCTGCTGAGGCCCTGGGCCCCGGTGAGTAGGACTCTCAGTGTTTGCCTGTCGGCCTCGCCAGCCTTGGGTCCTGTCCTCTCTCCCATGTGGGTCCAAGACACGGTGATGTCTTCAGCCTGTTCATCTTTTTTACCTGGTAGGACGGAGTGATGATTTCCACCCAGAAGGGGCAGACTGGGAAGTCCCTGTGTGAGCACACGGACAGCCGCCGTAAGGAAGCCTTTTCGGGCTGTGCCCAGCGTTGGGGCCCCTCAGCCTATTTCCTTGCAATGCCTGGTTTCTGTGCATGGGTCACGTTCTTGGTTCTTTGTGTGTATCGTACATCTTCACTAAAAATTGGACACTTTAGATTTTAGTAATTCTGGATTCTGAGTTCTCCTACTGCCAGGATTGGTCGTTACTTTGGTTTGCTGACTGACTCTAAGTCTGCAACGTGTCTCCCCCACGGGTACTGAAGGGTCTTTCTGTTAACGCTTGACTTCTTAGTGTTCATCCTCAGAGCCGCAGAGCTTAGTATGTGGCCCAGGGTGCCCAGAGGTTGTGCCGGACAGCCTTCCGCTCTCTGCCAGCGGGTCTGGATGTGGTCGACGAGCACGCTGGGCGGACAGGAGGCTTTTTAGAACCTAAAAGCAATGAATGAAAACAGAAAATACCAAAATTGATTGGGCTTCATAAAAGTTCAATAAATTCTTTGCCTTCGAACAGTGGAAGCCAAATTACAAGTTAATTGGAACATTTGTAGCAGTTACAGCAACACAAGGTTATCCTTGAGGACTGAGGCGCTCATTAATGCATGTGCATTAGGGTTAGTGGGTAAACACGAGAGAATGAGAGAGTGTAACACTGGAAACGTGGTTGGTGGTGTTGGACCCGTTTGGGCTGCTGTGACAGCGCCGCGGGCTGGCAGAGTCCTCCCAGTCCGGAAGCTGGGGGTCCGAGATGAGAGTGCCAGCCTGCTTGGGGTTTGGGTGGCTCCTCCTCCTGCCTGACAGAGGGCTGCCTTTGGTCAGACCTTCACGTGGCTGAGAGACAGAGCCGGCCTCTTCGTCCCCTGGGTCTCCTTCGTCCCCTTATGTGTACTGCCCAAAGGCCCCATCTCCAAGGGCCACCACATTGGGGATTTCAGGATGCCCAAAACATACACATTTTGGAGGACACTAGCGTTATCGACAGCACTCTGACGGTGTGGTTAAGCTTTCATAAAATTTTGGTAGCAGCCACTTACGTATCTGACGAGCAGAGGTTGAAGAGAATCCCCGCTCTGATAGCGGTGGACGTGTCCGTCACGGTGCTGCTCGGAAGCGCTGGGTGTAGACTTCTGAGAACCGCCAAGCCCTGTGGTGCAGTAATGCTAGAGGAATTAGCTCAGATGTGCTTAATGATGTTTGTGCAAAGGTGGTTCTAGTTTAGTTT